TCATTCTACCACCTAATTAAAAAACTAAAAGCTTTAATAAAGCTAAATAATCTCATAATCAAGCAAAACCCATCTCACATTATCAATTTACCACCAAAATTCATTAATCACAGTACCAAACAGTACAAAAGACAGAAACTTGATTGCAAAACCAAACATTCCATGACCAAAATCAGTGATTTAAGAAACAATTAATTCAAACCCAATTTAAAACTACAATAAAAAAAAGTACAAAATTGATTAAAACTTACAAATGAGGAATTTCTTAGAAGAATTTCTCCAACGTCTCTAAAAAAAGCTTCTTTCTTTCTCTCTCCTATATAAATGTTTGACAACGTCTATATTTTTCTGGGGTTTTGTGAAACAGAGGAGAATGAATAGTTTGTAAAGCAATAAATTAAAGGGGTGCGCAGTTGTTGGAAATACCAGAAATTTTAGAGAGAAAAATTTGTGATTTTTAGTGAGAGAGTGAAGCATGTTTCAAGCATTAAATGGGGGGCAAAGCATTGATTAAATTGGAAGAAGAAAAAAAAAGTTGGGACTTTTAAAAAAATAAAAAAATTGAAAAACAAAAAAACAATTCCAAAAATTTTGTAACGTCTCTTTGCTTAGATTGAGATTTCAAATTACAAATAAAAAAAAAAAACAGAAAGAGGGACAAAAAGTATACTTTTTCTTATACAAGGGTGATAAAATTACAAGGGGTAGGATTTTAATGGGGAGTGACAGACAAGTAATATGATGACACGTGGATTAAAGAAAAGTCAAAACAATTTTGGAAAATGGGTGAAACAAAAAGGGGTAAAAATATTTGGGATTTGGATTTTGTTAAGGGTGAAAATGGGCCCATGTTTTTGCCTTGGTGCGTCTTAGATTCGAACATAATGGACCAAATCTAGTGAGAGAAGTTTATTTTCCCATAATTTATTTTTGAAGGAATTATATTTTTATTGGATTTGAATTTTTTTTTTGTTACGTTAACATGGGGGGTCGAGTTATGAATGTTTATGTATAAAATTAATATGTGAATTTGAATTTAAATAACATCTTACAATAAAAAATTATCAAAAAAAGAAAACATCTTACAATAAAATGAAAAAATATGTTCAAAAAATACATCTTATAAAATGATGCAACGGGAACTTTCTTTTATATTCAACCAAATTAAATAAATGAGAAATTAATGCAATGTAGTAGTTTAAATTCAAAATAACATCTTACAATAAAATGCAAAAGGGTTTTAAATAGCATAATTTTGATTTCTTAAAAAATTTATGCACCTCATAATATGGTGAACATTTTCTTAGATTGAAATGAAAAGAAAAGTAAACTAAAAATCTGTTGTCAATTTGTGTATGCAAATTTTGGTGTGCCAATATGATACTTGTAATTTTGTAATTGTATTAGAAATTTGTTAGTTTAAAACCCATTATTCATCTTGTGAATAACAATTTATTAATAACTTTGCATCATATAGATATTTATTTGACTTGCAATAGTCCAGCTTAGAACTCTTGTAAAAAAAATTTTAAAAAAAAATAAAAAAATTAAAGTGAACCTTTCACCATGAATTAAGTACGCCTACATTGGGCTAAACTCAATCTAATCTAAGTAGTTGATTCAATGGGCTTGGTGAGCTTGGTTTAAGGGTGATGGGCAAAGGTTTAAGGGTGACATGAATTATATATTTTAACTTCAAATATATTTAGCATATATTCTCTAATTATTGTATATATGCTAAATATATTCTAAAAATTAGAAATGAGCAAATAGCTATAATTAGTCTATGTAAGGAGTCGTATGTTTTGAACTATTGGCTATTGAACTTATCATAGTAACTCGTTTGCACAAGCACACAACTTCACAAGTGACAACGTAACTATATAACTATACTTTGACCAATATTAATAAGGTGGTCTAAATTGAATTTAAGGTGATTTGAAATCGAGTCAGGAACAATTTGGGTTGAATTTAGGTCAGGTCAATAACAAAGTCGTGTTGATTTCGGGTCGGGTTTGTTACAGATCGAGTTGAATTTCGAGTCGGATTAGTAATAGGTCTGGTAAAATTCAGGTCAGGTTAGTAACAGGTCGAGTTAAATTCAGGTCGGTTTAGTAACAGGTCAAGTTAATTCAGATCGTGTTAGTAACAAGTCGGGTTGAATTCGGGGCGGGTTAGTAACCGGTCGGGTTAAATTTGGGTTTTGACGGGTTAAAACGGGTTTGGGTCAATCTCGGTTCAGGTCGGGTTCGGTTCAGGTCAATAATTTACGGGTCATATTCAGGTCGGGTCATCTCCATGTTGGTTCATGTTCGGGTACGGGTCTCAAATTCTCGGGTTAACTTGGGTCTAGGGTTGGTTTCAGGTCGGGTTATATCGGGTTCGAGTCACCATTTTTTCGAGTTCAAACGGGTCGGTTAAATAATCCGCCGAGTCAGTATTTCGGGTCGGGTCAACTTTTGACAGCTCTAATTTTAAGTAAGAAATTAAAATTAAAAAAAAAACATTTTGTTCTTTCTACCTTATTTCTAAAATGTAAGCAAGACTGGAAGAGTATATACACTTAAAAAAAAAAAAAAAAAAAAAAAAAAAAAAAAAAAAAAAGGAGGATATATATTCAACATTTTTATGTTGCATAATTTTAGGGGCGTGAGAACACGTAAATAAATCATCAATTCTAAATATATAACAATGTAAATGAATTACAAGTTGCAATCTCCTGCTGTACAACTTTAATTATAATAAAAATAAAAAATAAAAAGAAATGAAAAAATAGGAAAAATAATCTAAAAAAGGATACATCTTCAAATTGCATGCATGCTTGCCAATAAATAAAAATTACGAGCACATTTTAAGCCATAAATTAAATCACTTCTTGGTCAAATTGACCTTCGGATTTGATGTAAAAATCCATGCATAAATTAAATCATCTCTAATAATCACGAACCATTCTATGACACCTTCTTTTAACCCAACGAAAACTAATTTTTACAGAGGCTTTAAATTTAGTTTCCATTGTATATGTTCTATATGTAGTAATCCTTGTTTTCCTCTTCAAATCATTTTCATCAAAGCTCAAATTATGAGACCTACGATGATGTGAAGATGGCGACGACGTCGTAAAGGATGATTCGAAATAAGGAGTTATTACATACCTATGAGAAGGTTGTAATTTTACGGGTGGATTATAATTACTAAATGTTGGACTTTCATTGTAGGTACAATAACGAGCAGCATTATCAAAATTTTGTATTTCCAACATGTAATGATCTATGATTTGTAGCTTATATTGCTCTAAATCATCATGAACAATGTATTCATTTTGTGATGTTTTTGGCCCTTTCATTTTTTTTATTTTTTTTTTATTGAATTAAGTGTAATGCAATCCCACCACCCCAACTCTTGAGAAACAACGGCAAAAAAGTTGGGATGGGAGAAATCTAGGAGAACAAGATGACAAATTAGAAAGATAAAAGAACAATCAAAGTTACAAGGTGTGTTTTTATACTTAAGAAAAAGATAGATGCGATTAAATTTAGATTATCCACGATATAGATAAATATAAGTCAATCATTATTATGATTGAATTCTAAAATTAGGAGATTAAAGAAATTACTTTAAATTACTTCAAATAAAATCCAATAACAACTCAAATAACCCAGAGGTTTACAAACACATTATAAAATACAATCCATGGTTTTGTTTTTGTAACTGCTGTTTTCTACTTTTCTAGTGGCATTAAACATTAAATTGTACTTCGCTAATTATAATTTTTAATCAATTATCAAATTTGTGTTACTTAAATTTTTAACCACAATAGTTATATTGATGTTTAAAATTTCCCTCTTTCATGATAATCATTATATTCAATCACTCCTAATCTCTCATTATGCATATTTATGACATCTTATAAGCACGAAACTAAAAACAATAGGGATAGATATTTTTTTTTTTTTTTTTGAATAGGGGGCAATGGGGCAGATTTTGATTTTCCCATCCCATCCCAACCTAATATTTTCATCCTATCCCCAATTCCTCATCCTCAACCCATCCCCATGCAATGGAGGATCCAAAATTCATCCCCATGATCACTACTTCGTCACTGCGCACCACCCACTTGCCTAATCCCCACCTCAACCAAATCCCCATCTCAAAACTGCCTTATAATACTTGTATGCATTCACTAAAATTTCATACCGTTGTTACAGATATAACTCAACTAATCAACACATCTCAAAACCAAAATTATCCTTAAATGTTAGACAAGTTCACTATAATTCAATATAAAGATGAAATTCCAATTGTTAGAATTAATCTTCCTTATTTTAAGTAAGTACAAGGCAATTGTTCAATATTGTTTTAAGTAGGTTGAGACCAGGGCGGATTTGGGGCGTTCACAACTTATGATTCACCTTATTCCCACCACCCATGGCAGATATGATTTCTATCTCAACCCCGCCTCACTGGCCACCACTAAATCTAGACGACTAGACCTATATATGAATCTCCCCAGTGAGTCACTGATATCCCTAATAAAGCATAGTGAGAGTTACGAAAATAACTCTTTACGTAGTACAATAATATCCCTTTATCTTTTAAAGAGCCCTAGTTTGATCAGTAAATTTGCCAACGTAAAATTTTGACAAATAATATCTTCGATTATCAATTAATATAAATTTTAAAATTTGATATCAACAAACACAAAGTTTCATATGTGACTGGTTACACCATGTATCCGGGGTTACTTATTCAGGGATTACTCGGCCAGTCATGGGTTACTCAGTTAGGGATTACTTGGTTACGGGTTACTCGATCGATCACGGATTACTCAATCGCTTAGGGTTACCAGTTTAGTGTTTTGATATGTTGTGTGACCGACCACAAAGAAAACACGCTCTAGAAAATATATACATTGAAACGACTCTAACAACTACTTAAATGACTATGTTTAATTGCATTTACTGCGTATAAATTGATTAATTACATTATCACCCCTTTTGATAGGCACATAGACAATGTGCGCTGAATAAGTCGAAGAACCAGTAAGCGCACGATAGCTCATTCCCAGAGTTAAAGGTTATCCTCCTCCCCCTTCATGCGCTCTACTCCCCCTCAAATTCATAAATTTCTTCCCCGCCATTTTTTCCACTCTCTTTCCTCCATAATTTTTGACCGTTAATTCCACAATTTTCAGCTTTTCAGCCTCAAATCAATTGTAAAGGTATGTTCTTTAATTACCCTTCTGCTTATTGATATAATTATGTTCTGGGTGTAAGTAATTTCACTATACTTTCTTGATATTTTAGTGGTTTAATTTGTTTGAATTGCTCTGATTTGATGATGATTAAAAAGATTGTTTTATATATATATATTTCACTTAACTTTTTCTCTGAGTTATTTAGATCTGAGATTCTGAATTGAATATTGGGTATTTTTGGGTTAAAAATTGGTTATACACCCAAAACCCAAATGGTGTTTAGGCAATTTCAAGAGAACTTGTAAGTAATTGTTAGATTTGTGCGGATAGAAAATTGGTCCCAAAGATGGTTTATTTAGTGAATTTTTTTTGGTGTTATTTCACCAAGAAATTAACAATTTGAGTGCCTTGTAATTGAGCTTTAATTGATGCTTCTTGCATGAGGCTCAGTGGGGTATTCATAACTAGCATTTACATGGAAATCTTTAGAATTTATAGTAATGAAAGTTTGTACTAAGCTGAGGAGGAGACTGTTGCCCGTCATCTAAACTAATTGAAACAATGGCCTGAACTTTGAAATCTGATGTTTGAACTATTTTTGAGCTTTATATGGAAATCACCATTTTACTAATGGGGTAAGAATGTATAGACACTCTTTTTTTCCCTTTTTTTGGGTGTAAATAGAGCCACAAAGGATTATTAAGAGGACGGGATTTAATCCTTGGGCTGCATTCCCAAGACTTTACCGGCTAAGTTAGTTGACATCCACTTAGGTAAATCGTTGCAGATGAAGTTCGTTGTTTGATGGTGTAGTTGAAGCATGGAGAAGCAATATGTGAGATGTTTCTCTGCTGACAATGGTCTAAATTTTGTGCCTATGACAAAGTACTTGGTTTAATTGATACACATTTGCTTAGAATTTGACAAATCTTTTAGGTGACTGTTTTAGTCTTGATTACTTGATGGTATCCCGACATTGTACTTTGTATTTTATTTGTCTACATTCAGTGGAGGATGTGCATATTAGACTCCATCCCTGTTTCTCACCTTACCTAGCTGGTTAAGCTTAGTAGTTATCGTGTCTTTATCATTGAAGGAGTAAAGGAAGAAATATAGTACAAGTGACAGGCAGGCTCACTTCTCATCGTTCCTTGTGTTTTCTATAACCTAGGAGGTTAAGCATTCGAAGTGTTAAGTGCCTAATAGCTCATTCCCATCTTTCATAATTTTTAGATTCCAATTGATGCACTGCCAGAATATGAACAAAGAAAAAGCTGGTTAACAGGATCATCTTATGTGTATTGTTCTTGATGCTTTGTGTGTGTGTGTGTGTGTGTGTGGAAAACGAGTGAGCTCTTTTTCGCTTATCATTTGGAAGAGAGAGGGGGGGGGGGGGGGAGCCTACATCATGTTTCTGTAATTTCATGCAGTTGCCGAAAACTTGAAGCCTAGTGTCGCTTGAGCACAATTGAACTTTCGTAAGCCCTACCTCTACACAACAAGAAGCCACAGTGTCATTCCTAGTAAAGAGGGGTTTGAAGGTTAAGATTTTTGTAACCTTATCCCTATTATAAAAGCTCAGACCGTTTGAACCTGTTAAATAAAGGATGAAAGAATTCCCCTTCAGTCTATATCTTTTTATTTTGAGTGCAGCAACATATGTGGTGGTGTGCTCTGTTGGAAATGGGGGTGCCTATTCTTGTATAAATTCCATTTTATTCTTTCTTACCTTAAGAAAAATGAATATTACTGTATTTTTTTTCCAAAAAAAAAAAAAAAAAAAAAAATTCTCTACATTTTAAACACTAAACCTTCATTAGAACTAAAGTGCTTATGTGCTTGCTATCTGCTTTCAGTTGTCTGAATAATTGCTGCAAGAAATGACTGTTAATGGAAGTCAGAATATGGAATCCTCTGAGAATGAAACAGATCTGTCACAGGACAACATTGAGTCTGTAGAGGAAATACCAGAGGATGCTATATTGTCACGACAAACATCAGTCAACCTAGTCCCATTTATCGGCCAGAGATTTGTTTCTCAAGATGCTGCCTATGAATTTTATTGCAGCTTTGCCAAGCAATGCGGCTTTTCAATCAGGCGCCACCGCACTAGGGGAAAAGATGGGGTGGGTCGGGGAGTCACACGAAGGGATTTCACCTGCCATCGTGGTGGACATCCACAGGCGAAACCTAGTGAGGAAGGAAAGTTACAAAGGAATAGGAAATCATCACGATGCGGTTGTCAAGCATACATGAGAATTGTGAAACGGTCAGATTTGGATGTCCCTGAATGGCGTGTTACTGGATTTAGTAACAATCACAATCACGAACTTCTTAAATCAGTTGAAGTACAAATCCCTCCTTCTCATTGCACCATTTCTGCTGATGACAAAAGTCGGATTTGCTTGTTTGCAAAAGCTGGAATGTCAGCCCGCCAGATGTTGAGATTGATGGAGCTTGAGAAAGGCGTTAAATTAGGTTGCTTACCATTCACCGAACTAAATATCAGAGACCTGCTACAGTCTTTCAGACATGTTGATAAAGATAACGATGCTATTGACCTCATCAGCATGTGTAAGAGATTAAAAGATGAAAATTCTTATTTCAAGTATGATTTTAAATTAGATGGTCATAATAGATTAGAGCATATTGCTTGGTCATACCCTTCATCCATCCAAAAGTATGAAGCCTTTGGGGATGCAATATTGCTGGACACTAATCATCGTCTGGATGCTTATGATATGCTTCTAGGCCTTTTGATGGGGGTTGATAATCATGGAAAGGCTTGTCTTTACAGTTGTGTTCTTTTGCGGAATGAAAACCTGGAGTCCTTTACTTGGGCATTGAAGGTACCTATAACATCTTAAATATTAATTCTATTAGTTTATTACCATGTGCTGCAGCTGCACAAGAAGAACCCTGCTTGATTCTGTTGTTTATTCCTTCATTGTAATTATATTTCTCATCTCTTTGAAATAATATGTGCAGACATTTTTATGTTTTATGAAAGGAAAAGCACCACAAACCATTTTGACTGATCAAAATATTTGGCTCAAAGAGGCAATCGCTTGTGAAATGCCTGAAACCAAACATGCATTCTCTATATGGCATATAATTGCCAACTTGTCAGACTGGTTTTCTTTGCCACTTGGGTCTCATTATGATGGCTGGAAGACCGAATTTTATCGTCTTTATAGCTTGGAAATGGTTGATGAATTTGAAGCTGGATGGAAGGAGATGGTTGACAGATATGGACTACAATCAAATAAATATATCATCTGCCTTTATGCATTACGGGACTTTTGGGCTCTATCTTTCTTGAGGCGCTACTTCTTTGCTGGACTCATGAGTAGATCTGTGACAGACTCCATTAATGCTCTCATTCAAAGGATATTAAGTGCACAATCTACACTTGACTGTTTTATTGATGAAGTAAGTTCTCTTTTATCATTCTACAGAGCACTACTTTGTGTACATCTGCTGTGGTTTGTGCAAAAATGTTTTTCAAGTAGTTTCTCAACTTTGTGTCTGCATACTCCTATCTAAACAATGTTGTTTCCTTTCGTAATTATTTATCCTTAGAAACTAGTGTTTCTTGCAAAAAGGTTTCACTACCAGTTCAGATCAGCAAGTTGTAAAGCTATATTACCTTTATACCTACAGAATTTTCAAATCTTGCTATAAGTGATTAGAGGTAGCAAACGAGTCAGTTTGGATTAGATCATATTCTAGTAATGAGTTCCTTCATTTGGTTACAGGTCGGGTCTTAGGTTGGGTCATACTGGGATCTATTGTTGATTTGCTTACTATATAAAATTAATCATTATTAGACTGTATGTCACATAAATTTTCGGGTAAGGTCCATCTCAGTTTGGGTCATAATCAAGGAGCGTAGTTTCTGCTGTCATTGTTTATCAGTCATATTGTTGAGACCACCAAGTTGTTATTGTTGTCTAAGAGAAAGGCGGTTTACTTGCTATATTGAGCCTCTTTCTTAATATGTTTGTAATTGTAGGTAGCCAATATTGCAGAGTATGATGACCATGGTGGATCAAAGTTGAAGATGCAGCAAAATCAGAAAGTCTCTTTAAAAACAGGTTCCCCAATGGAGTCGCATGCTGCTACTGTTTTCACACCTTTTGCTTTTTCTCTCCTCCAAGAAGAGCTCGTTTCAGCCCCTCAATATGCCTCCATTATGGTTGGCGAAGGTTGCTTCCAGATCAGACACCACACAGAGATGGACGGAGGATGCAAAGTGATGTGGAACCCTAGTCAAGAACTCATTCATTGTAGTTGCCATCAGTTTGAGTTTTTAGGCATCCTTTGTCGTCATATTCTTCGTGTTCTCTCAACAAATAACTGTTTTCGCATCCCAGACCCTTATCTGCCTTTGAGGTGGCGCCTGGTATCAAATGAGCACATCGAAAAAGAACAAACGGATAAGGCCAAAATTCTGGAAGCCATAGCTTCCACAATTGTTTCAGAATCTGTGATAACTGAAGAACGCCTGACTTTTGCCTGTGAGCATATGTCAATGGTACTGGCTCACATCAAACAACTCCCTAAACTGAGCAATCATCATGAAACTAATGAGATGGGTATCAACAGCTCAGCAGGTTTGCTGATTATACCAGGAGTTGAAGGTTCTGCTGGGATTTCTCAGTGTTTTTCCCTTGGAAATCCTCACGAGTCTTTCTTGGTCAAGTTGAAAGAACAAAATCCAAATCCTGGGCTTGAGAATAATATGTCTCGAAAAAGAAGGCGTGCTATTCCTCCTTGTGAACAATATGCTCATGATGCATGTGATAGTGCAATTATTGAAGGTAATACAGGTGGAGATGCATTCGGCGGCTTCTTGTAAATTAGGATCCTGTGGGTAAGTAGAATTCTGCCTATTTTATCAAAATAAATGTATATACACTCTCACCTTTTGCGGCCAATTCTAGAGCTTACTGAATTCCCATGGTTTTTGTCAGGCTTCTTTTGCTTGATTTACCGGATTTAAGCACATTTTTATGGCCCGGAAATGTGGCTTATCCTGATTTTCCATGAGCAGTCAATAGATCATTCACGTGCCTTAGTTAACCTATTATTGGCTGCGAAAACTCTACACGTATGGAGTATATTCTATATCCATCTTGAGAGCGGTTTTCTGGCAGCAGCTATGCAAGTCAACTGAGAATGTTGTTTGTTACTGATAGAGGTCTCATTTGTTCTGTTGCTAAGTATGACAGCTGATAAGTGACAGAGCCACAGATAGTACATCTCTGAATGAGAGGAGATAATGAGAGCCAATATAAGTGAATCCGTGATCCTACAAACTCTAAATGAAGACACTAGTTCATTAGGGAACCCGAGTATAATCATTTAACACGCTATATGCATGATACCCCTGATGAGCCATATCAACTGTCATACTTAGCAACAGAGCAAGCGAGACCTCTATCAGTACCAAACAACAAATATTGATAGTCGATTGCCTACTCATACACTACGAAAAAGAATCCAATTAGATGCAGTGTTTTCTCAAGTTGTTTATTAAAACTTATTCTTTGAATAATAACTATCGTGATTAAGCTAAAGTAGTAATATTAATACGTAGTACATAACAAATAAAGTATAAAAAAATTCAATTTATGATTGAGTCAAAGGAAATTATGTTGAATACGGAGTATGCTTTTAACAAGGAACATTATATTTATAATTAATATTACCACCACCTTTGATTATTTGGTAGGTGAGATGATATAATTGAAAATTAAGTTTATGTTTTTGGTACAGGAGAAAGAGAAAAGCATAAGATTTTATACTGAATAGAGGCTACTTGTCTGAAAGTTGAGAGACAAGGAATTGCTAACTCAACGGACAATAATCAATTATCGCAACAGTTATTTTTCTCTCTTTTTTTTTCAGAATATTCTTATTCCTACTCTTTTTTTCATGTGTTAGGATGGTAATTATTATTATTATTATTTTTTTCTTTTTTTTTAATTTTTAATTTTTATTTTTTACAGAGCCACAAAAACGAGCAATGAGAATTGATCTCATGATCACCAGAACCGGAGGGGGGGCTCTAACCACTTGAGCTATCTCTCACTCTCATTACTTGTGTGTTGTGTGCGTGAATAATCAATAGAAGTTAATTTTGGTATTTTTATTCCTATACTTGTACATGTTTTCAACAATGGCTATGCTATTGAATTAATCCATCCGTCCTCTTTTGCATGCCAGAATACATATAAAATTTAGTCGTTTGGATGGTGGCCTAGTGGGGTAAAATTTGCTACCGTACATGTTTTAACCCAAGATATCTACCATGAGCTCTCTTTTTTTGGAGAGAAAGAACCACAAAATACAAAGGAAAAATTGTAAGGAAGGTTCTTTTTAGTAGTCGACCTTGTGAGAAAGGTCTTTTTAAAAAAAAGGTGGCACAGAAGGCCTTTTTATGGCGTTTTGGTTGTGAGGAGGGTCCTTTGACCAAACTCCGGCGTTGACCTCCGTTTTCCGGCCAAAAAAGTCACGTGATGTGCATGTGACCACTTAAATCAACCTTTTTTTTTTTTTCTTTTTTTTCTTTTCTTTCTTCTTCATCTTCTTCCTCCCTTTCAATTCCACACCTCCATGAATGGCATTTCCAGCCACACCTCCACCTCCGGCAACAAGGAACCCTATCCCTTTCCCCCACCCTTTCTCCCTTTCAAATCATTCATTACAATGTTCCAATTGGTGCTCTATATGCATTTTCATTGTGGCTTTCGAATTCGGCTTACATCTAGTTGAGTGTTTCATTCATTCAAATGTTGAAGGCTTTGATGCCTGATGCTGTGTATTCAATTGGAGTCATGTTTTGAGGCGAAACGATGGCGAATATGATGTCGATTTCATTTGGGGTTGCAATTGCTGCTTATGGTGAGGCGAAATTTGATGCTTGGGGTGTAACCCTACAATTGGGGGCAGTTGCATTTGAAGCTACTAGATTGGTAATGATTCAGATCTTGTTAACTTCAAAGGGTATTAGTTTAAATCCGATTACATTGCTTTATTATGTTGCTCCTTGTTGTTTGGTGTTTCTATCAATTCCTTGGATGATTGTAGAGTACCCAATTCTAAGGGATTCGTCGAGTTTTCATCTAGATTGGTTTATATTTGGGACGAATTCTGTTTGTGCTTTTGCTTTGAATCTTACTGTGTTCTTGCTTGTTGGGAAGACATCGGCTTTGACTGTGAATGTTGCTGGGGTTGTTAAAGATTGGTTGTTGATTGTTTTCGTGGTCTGTGATTAAGGATATTGTTACCCCTATCAATTTGTTTGGATATGGGTTGGCATTTGTGGGTGTTGGGTAATACAATCACTCTAAGTTGCAGGCATTGAAGGGAGGAAGAAGATGAAGAGGAAAGAAAAAAAAAAGGCTGATTTAAGTGGTCACGTGCACAACACGTGACTATTTTTGGCCAGAAAACGGAGGTCAACACCGGAGTTTGGTCAAAGGACCCTCCTCACAACCAAAACGTCATAAAAGGATCTTCTGTGCCACCTTTTTTTTAAAAAGCCATTTCTCACAAGATCGACCACTTAAAAGTACCTTCTTCGCAATTTTTCCAAATACAAATAATACATTGATTTTATATTTGGACTAATATTCCTTGATGTTTTAACCAACAAAGGTAGTTGGTATCCACTCCTTTGGATGATAAAGAAGTTATAAATAATAAATTTTAATCTCTAACATAGCCATATTTATTTATCTTTTTTGGAAGGGGCCTTGTGATTTTGTGAATGTTATTGATCAATAGTGATTTACACTTGGTAACTTAAGAATGAAATTTGAATCTTTGACTAAATATTAGTGAGTCAAATAGGTTGTTTCCGGGCACATGCTAATGCTATAATAAAGTCAAGTTATCAATGAAATATAAGCCAAGTGATTAAGAGCTTAAGATTAATGCAATGATATGTATACGATAAGTCGCAGTTTCAAATCTCTTTACCATTATCTGCAATTTGCATTGATTAATATTGTTGTTAAGATAAAGTCTAGTTGGTTAGAAAACCTTTTTCCGGCATACCAATTATAGTGTGTTGGTGGAAGTGGAATATTGAATGAACCACTATGGAAAAAATTAAGATACATTAATACATTATGCTTTGATTAGAGAAAAGCTGGGTTGAAGATCACGAATCTATAAAACTAATACGAGTAGAAGCTTCATATATGTAGACTTTTAATTTATTATTTCTTTTTCTACAATTGTTATAATTGGTGATGAAGAACATAATCTCAAAAGTAGTTAGGTGATTAATGATTGAATTATATTTTGTATTGCCTTGATGGTGGCAGCACTTTTGTCTTTGATGTACTTGGCACAATGGCTCTTAGGGTCTGGTCAGCTCTATTATCAATTTTGATATTTAGTACTCGTATTAGTCGTATATATAAACAACTAATTTTATAAATAGGCAAAAAAAAAAAGTTAGTTGGTCAAACAAGCTAAGTAAACCAATCAACAATTAGGATTTTTTTTTAGATGTAGAATAAATTCATTTATATACAACCATACTATGTATACAATGAGAAACTAATTTCACTTAAAATACATGTGCAATCTAACAAATTTATATATCACTTTAATTTCTCTTGTAGTGTCACATGTCATTTTGTTGTCTCAATGTTGTCTTACATGCCTTTTATTTTTGAAGTAGGGATACATTTTTCTTTAATTCGTGCATAATAATCTCTTTTAATCTTCTTATACGGAAGGATATTTATTAAGAGAGAGTGTTGATCGAATGAGACTTAATATATTATACGGAGTAAGAATTTATTTTTGGTCCCTTCAATTATACAAATGAAATTAGCAAAAGTTTTACTCCGTAGTATAGATAAGGTTATTAGGTTAGTGGTTAGGAGGCTTAGGACCCATACATATATTAAATTTCAAGAAAATTGTTTTGTTTTGTTTTGTTTTTGCACTTACTGACAATATTTTATGTATATACTTGTATATAATTGGAGGAAGTAGTCCAGGGACCAAAAATAAATGAAAACCTAAAAATTTAATGGTGCTAAATAAAGTAGCGGCATACTAAAACAGTGTCATCATCGATTCGTCATTTAAATCTCTCACCATAACATTTTTTTTTGTAAAAAAAATAATAAAAAAGAAAAACAATCAAACAATCAACATACACAAAAAAAAAAATTAACAATACAAAACCAAACATTAAAATATTAAATTACCCAGAATTTTTACATTGAACTTCATAATAACAATAATAATTCTTTCAAAAGAAAAAAAACTTCATAATGATAATAATAATAATCCCTCAATTCTTTTTTCTTTTTGTTTATTTCATTCAAAATTCAATTTGATAGGGAGAAATTACTGTAATAATTAGTATTCAATGACGTATAAAAGGAAAAACATATACATTTATAATCTTGTTGTGTAATTTCAAAATAATAACTTAATTTCTTAGTGATTTTAAAATATTAATTTATTTATTTATAATATGAAGATAATAATGGTCAGATACTAAATGTGCTCCACATAATCTTGTCGAAGTATATGCATTGAAAACCGTATAAAACATAATGAGACAAACAAAAAGGAACAGATCAAAAAGGTATTTGTAACCATTTCACACATCTAAAAAAAAAACAAGTACATGTTCGAGAAGAAACAAATAGAGTGTGTATATATATATATATATATATATATAAGTTGAGGTGTGAAATCTTACGAAAAAAGGTTGCAAGTATAAAAGAAATAGAAGGCCTTAACTTGGCTCAAAGAATCTCCTTCATCTAAAGCAACCTTTTCTCCAAGCAATTCCCTATACGATCTTCCTTCCTACCTTCATCACTCTCTCTAAAATTCCCAGTTTTACAATCTCATCTATCATTTATGTAAATAAAACGAACCATTATATATTGAAATCATATTATAATTAGTACATACATAAATTGAAAGATGATGAGGATGCCTGGTACAACAAGAGCAAGAGGTGTAACGCATGCAGACTTGGCTCCTAAACCACAAGGTCTACAACTTTCCAGCAAAACTGGTGCTCTTCTTACCATTCTTTGTATCCTTTGTGGTCTTCTTTGCTTCATTCTCTCCCTCTTCGCAGAAGCTACTCGTTCAGAGGTATGTACTTATATTACTCCTTTTGTTCAGAATTAATAGCAGTAATTGTTTTAATTTAGTGCATTACCAAACAATTTCGTGTAATTTTTTATTGAATAATTTTTTCCTGTTGATTCTCGTCAAGTATTTGCTGATATTGTACTCATTTTCATGTAATTTTGTAACTTAGGCTCACAGAATAATTCATATACTTTCATGTATGTCGTTCAAACTTGCAAAATTAATAAATTTTGGAAATGATCTGATGATTTCTTATTAAAATATTTTCATCCGATTGATTTGTTAGTTTGAAAGTTAGTTGAGGGGGCCTGGGTTTATGGAGGTTAATATGAGTTGAAATATTGGGTTCTTTATCTTTTGATAGGCAGACTATCAGACTCAAAGCAAACTCATATACACATATTTAAAAAACATGAATTTTATTTTCTTTTTTTAACAAAAAAATAATAAACATGTGCATACAAGCAATCAAAAAGTCGTTCGAAAAGACTACTAGTTTCTATTCTATTTATTTATCGTTTTTATAAAATCATGATCTTAACCTATGATGTAACGTTTTTTTGTAGGTGTCATGGATGTTAATAAACAACAATAATAATGGTGCAACGAAAGGGCATAAGGAAAAAGGGGATTACGAGTGTATGTATAGTGGAAGTGGTAAAGTGCCTTTGATATGCGCATCAGTTGCATTTGTAGCATTGGCTATTGCAATGCTTATTCAGCATTCATTTTTGCTGATTGCTATTAGCAAAACTACTCCTCCGGTTTATGTAAGCTGGGACCCTCAATCTTCTATACCTATGAGGTCTCTAACTTGGCAAGCTGGATTCTTCTTCATATCTACTTGGTAAGTTTATTCCCGTAGCTTAATATCGTGATATGGTAACGTAAATTAAGTAATCAGATATATCTGTATGTTCTTGTAAACGTTATGTTATTGATGTTTTTGTATAAATTTAAAGGCTGGGGCATTGTGTACAGCTGGTATCACATCCCTTTCTGATTAATAATAGAGGCTTAGAGTTAAGTCGCCGGTGAATCATATTTGGCCTCTCTTGACTTGACCAAGAGTACGTCTTCCAACATGAGATTGTGTATCAACTAACATCATAACCATTAGCTTCATTCCAAACTAATCAATATACCTAACTAAAAGAAGGCTTAAAAATAACTAAATGGAAATTAAAGTGGCATAAAGTCATTCGCCAAATTTGGTCAAAACTTTACTAAAATCTCATTAATCGCTACAACCAAAACTTTCACATACTTTGTATTAAAAAAAAAAAAAAAAAAGGGTTTAAGACATTGCACAAGTACTTTAGGTGTGTCGTATTAGATTAGATAATAATTTTATTTTTCATTTGTTTGACTTAAAAAAATAAATAAAACATAAATAAATAGTGTAGCTTAGTGCAGTAGGTGGCTTCTTTTTGTGGAATCATGTTTCGTCATTCATGATAATTATTTTTAGGTACATTATTATTATTATTTCATTATGACATGATATAGATTATAATTATATTTTTATATATTCAATATTCTATTAATATGTGTTTATTTTCAGTGGTTAAGAATGATAATATATGGGATTTCCTCTTAGAAAAGAATATTGTAACAATCATAGCAATTTCAAATAGTACTTAAATAGTAAAATAAAACCCATTAACTTATCTTTATTTCACCAAAACTCCAAAAGGTGCTTGGTGCCTCGCTAAAGCTCCAGATTTTACGTTACGCATAAGAATATGTTCTTCGTAGGAGCATAAAGGATTAAAAACACATCACAGGTGTGAGATAATGTCCTCATGCTCCTTTATGGCAGTAAAGCCGATAATTACCTACGTGTTTTTACTCATTATTGTACACCTTCACGTTTTGGAATCGACTTTTACATACATGCTTGCTATTGTTGTGAATTCTTTTTTATTTTTAACAGGACAACAGGTAGATGTATATGAATAAATTTAAGCTCGTCATACAAACAATATATGACTTTTCTTCTAATAAGAATTCATATTGAAATAGACATAATTAAACCTTATTAGGGTCTCTTTATTAGGAATTGATTTTAGGACGAAAAAATATATTTAGGACAAAATTTATGTATGGTTTAATTAATCTAAAAAAAAAAAAAATTAACCATATGCTTTCCATTTTCAGGTTGTGTTTTGCAGTTGGAGAAATAATGCTACTAATAGGATTAAGTGTAGAATCAGGGCATCTAAAAGATTGGTCTACACCAAAAACAAGCTGCCTTATAATCCGAGAAGGTGTGTTCACAGCTGCAGGAGTTTTCTCCCTTTTATCAGTCTTCTTAGCAGCTGGTTTATACGCCACAGCGTTACGAGTCCAATGGCTAGGCCAACAACAAGAGACTATCAGGCGAGAGATCTTGGAAGCCTCTTCCACTTATGCATCTCCGCCTCGTTCACCACAACATAGTCGAGTGGCTCGAGATGCACCTACCGACGTTGTTAGACAAGATCAGACGTCTACGTTGTCTCAACAACAACAACAACATCAATTGGTCCTAAATAACAAGCAAGGTAGTTTAGTGTAAAGATGCAATAATTGAAGAGTGTTTGAGATTGTTATACTGAAAGAGGAAAATTGTATACTGAGTACATAATATACCAAATGTACATTTGTCTTAAGAGTGTAAATATACATTACAAAAAATTTTCACACATTGTTATACTTGAGGTTATGGTCTATCTCACATTACGTCGCGTGTTAAGATCTAATCAATGTATGAACATTATCTTCAATTCGACAAAGACAACAATATTAAGTACATGGACAAAATAAAAATTGTCCCTTTCATCAGCTTATGGAGCATAATATATTGAAAAGACTCAAAAGAGGCCCCTTAGCAACCAAACGCCTTAGCTTAACTCAACATACAAAACTTGGTATTAGTCGTATTACTATTGTGTTACAAATATGATCATAAAAAGATAGTGGTTGAAAATGGACCTGAAACAAATTATTTTGGACCCAAGACCATTTTCTACCATTAGACATTCCCAAGGTAGCTAATTTAACATTAGCTAAGGAATGGACTAGGGATGAATGTCGATAGATCCTAAACTACTTTGTATATATATAAGATGCAAAGCGTGGTACATACACTCGATATGAAGAGATCAACTTAAATATGAGTGTTACCTTTAAAAAGGTTGTCACTGCCTCATCCTAATTTCTGATTTTATACAGAGTTTAGAAATAAGAATCCCCAATTGTTATTAAGAAGATAATCTTAACATAAAGTAATAGTATAATAAAGGTAGTCCTTGAGGTATTAGGAATGGTTTTCTTAATAAGTAAAGGTGTGATGCTTGTAAATTATCATAGTGAAATTGGTAAAGTGTTGAAGCAAAAGAGCTCCAATCGTTTAAGACGTACATATTGTATAAGGAGGGTCGTAGTTGATTGAAGTGTATAAAGTACTTGTAGTTCCTTAATTTTAAAAGGTGGCAGTTAATTTGTAAGGTTGGCTAAGACTATGTTTAGTTTATCTTAATTTTTTTGATGGTATTTGAACTTATTTTCCTTGAATTTATCTAAATTTCATATAATTACAAATGTGACAATTAAAAAGTGACTATACAAATAAATTAAATGTCCATAAATGATAAATCTTAATTTTGATATCACATGTTATGTGTTGAAATATAGTCTTATCAAACAATACATATAAACTATATAAGTGTCTACATTTAGTAAAAAAAAAAAAAATGCTCCAAGTGATTTTATTATTTGAATGATTTCGGTAATATAAAAAGTATTACAATAATATCTCTTGAAACCAGAATGAGAGATTTAACCACTTGAGATATCTCTCACTCTTATTACTTTTTTTGAGGAAAAGCCTCACTCTTACTACTTAAAGTTACTTGTGATTTAGATTTGCTAATACACATGACAAAGTGCAAAACAATCTTGGGCCTTGGATTTGGGCTAGAAAGAAAGGGTTCTCCCAAAGTCCCAATCCAAAACACACACCAAAAAGCATATTCTATCCAAATCCTTTTTAGAAAAATCAAAAAAAGAGGAAGGAGGGAGCGGCTACGAATTTCAAATCCAAGTATTACGGCAAATTATTTAATTTAATTATTTACCTAGCAAAGCCAAGAAAATGATTAGACGAAAGCTAAAAACATAATCTTCAATTATCTTTAAATTCATCCTTCTGAAAATGACGGTTTAAATCATAAACATTTCCCTCACTCTCTCTCTTCACCTCCAAAACCCTGCCTCCCTCTGCTTTCTCTCTCTAACTCTCACTTTCTCTCTCCTCTCAACTGGTAATTCTGCTACTCAATCTCTCTCCAATTTCATCATCTTTAACATTACTTTCATTTTATTTTGATTGATTCATTGATTAATTCTTGTTTCATTTGTTGTGAATTTTTGAATTGGTAAAGTAATTTAGGGTTTATGTTTTGCTAAATTTTTGCAGGTTGAATAAATTTTGAACGAAGCGATGTCGTTGAGGCCAAATGCTAGGACGGAAGTTCGCCGGAATCGATACAAAGTCGCCGTTGACGCCGATGAAGGTCGCCGGAGAAGAGAGGATAATATGGTGGAGATCCGAAAGAATAAGAGAGAGGAAAGCTTGCTCAAGAAGCGTCGTGAAGGTCTTCAAGCTCAGCAGCAGTTTACTCCTTCTCTTCACGCTTCTACTGTTGATAATAAGAAGGTCTAATTCTTGCTCCGATCTTTTGTTTTGGAATTCTTTTGACTTAATTTCTTGAATTTTGAGTAATTGATTGATAATTTGTTTATCTGAGTTGATTGATTTTCAGCGTTTGTTTGATATTCAAGCTTTGTTGTTTGTGTTATTATTTCAATTCGGTGTTGTGTGAAAATTTCAAGTTGCTTTGCTTAATTGATTGTTTAACATTTTCTTTTTTCAGAATTCTGGAGTATTGATTGTGTTGTTGTTGGAGAGTGTTCTAGAAAACTTTGGTGTTTGTTTTTTGTTTTGATCCTAGTTCTAGATGCTCGTGGTCAATTGCTTGATGCTTCTGTTGTTGACATTATAGTGTTGATTACGAAATGTTTTAATATGTAGAATGAATGTGGAGCGCTGAGTCTTCTAGTAATTAGAAGCTCGTTACGTTTTCCACCCTTAATATAAATTGGTCGCTATTGCCTTTGATATTTAAAGCTCCATAATTCAGTATGATTTTCCTATATATTGCTGTAACTATATAATTATTCAATTTGGATCGTAAAGTAATTACCATGTTGTGCGGCAGCAGATAGTGCATTTTTTTTCTGGTTCAATGTAAACTGTTAGCTTAGTTAGAGTGCTTGTAATTTTTTTTTAAAAAATAATTTATGGTGCAGGATAAATTCACTAAACTGTTAGCTTAGTTAGAGTCCTCCTTCCTCTCTTTCTCATGCATTGTGCACAATATACACGGTTTTTCTAAAAGAAATGTAATAAAATAATGTACCAACCAGCTCAGTTGGTGGGGAGTTTGGTAGTCTAGCAGCAGATACTCGTATAATGTGCATGTTCAAATCTCTGTAGTCTCACTGTGAAGCTTTTTTTGCTTCTATTTTCTCATTCTCGATCACCTTTTTTTAAAAATAAATTTCTATTGTGATTAAATTGTTATTATTTGAGTTGGCGATTTTACATTTTTACCCCTTAAACCACTAACTCAACTAGTAGATTTAAGTTTAACTGGGAAAAAAATGCACTAGTGAACCATTCTTGTGTGGATATTATCATGGTACTCGTAATTGCTTTCAAAATAGATGCAAAATTTGAATATTTTATAATTTGTTGCATCTTCCTTGAGTAATCGTTCAATAACTGACTAAATTTTCCAATAAAATAATGAGGTACCATGTGAAAATCAGTTAGAGAAATATTTTGAGAAATCCTTTGCAAAATTTTAGCTTTAACGATAGACATGGTTTGACCACAAACAAAAGTCCAATGTGACATTTTTTCAAGGGATGGAGGGAGTATTGAATATTGATATATCAAATAGTTAAGGAAGATCAGTATAAACAAAAATCAGTCGATGTGAGCCAAGTGTTGATTTGGTAGTCTTAACAGATGAAATTGTTGGCTTTCTGTCCCATCCCTCATTTGAGTGGTACTGTAGTAGTGAATTTGTTTTTGGAATTTACTAGTTTCTGTTCAGAATTCAATTGTTGATGTGTGAGTTCTCGTAACATTTGTGTGTTGTTTCAATCAGTCCTCTTCCTTTAATCTTGACCTGTATATTACCTTTTTTTTTTTTCTTTCAAAAGACAACCTTTCTTGTTCAGTGCCTGGTACTAACTCTTGCTATGAATTTTCTTGTTCCTATTCTTTGAACTTGAATTGGCTGCTTGTGTTTTTGCAGCTAGAGAGTTTGCCAAATATGGTGGCTGGGGTTTGTTCTGAGAATAATCAATTGCAGTTGGAGGCCACAACACAGTTTCGAAAATTGCTTTCCATTGGTATTGGCGTGCTATCTTTTTTAATTTTGGGCCTGTAAAATTTAGTAGTCTGTCATTGTTATTGACTGTTGCTTGGGCTTTTGATTTCTGTAGAACGAAGCCCACCGATTGAGGAAGTTATACAAGCTGGAGTTGTACCCCGCTTTGTGGAGTTTCTTCAAAGGGAGGATTATCCACAGTTACAGGTCTTTATTCCTGTTGTATTTGTTGTTATTCATATATAGTTATAACAAGTTGGTTGCTCTTTTACGGAATATTTGGATTTTGATGTGTAGTTTGAGGCTGCATGGGCTCTTACAAACATTGCATCAGGGACCTCAGAGAACACTAAGGTGGTGATTGATCATGGGGCTGTTCCAATATTTGTGAAGCTTCTTGCTTCTCCTAGTGATGATGTCCGTGAGCAGGTGTGACAGGAATTATTAAATTTCCCTCTGTTTTTATATTGATGTATTGTTAAGTGCCCAAGGGTTGTTGCTTTGCCTCTTTGGTCTTGACATTATTGGAATTTGCAGGCAGTGTGGGCTTTGGGTAATGTTGCTGGTGACTCTCCTAGATGCCGGGATCTGGTTCTCAGTAGTGGTGCGTTGATTCCATTGCTTGCTCAACTCAATGAGCATTCCAAGTTGTCCATGCTTAGAAATGCCACATGGACTCTATCTAACTTTTGTAGAGGAAAACCACAACCTCCGTTTGAGCAGGTCAGTGCTCTTGTATATATATTTATCACTTTTTAAATGGCTTAAAGTTGAAATCCTATTCTATGAAATCCATGAATAGGTGAAGCCAGCTCTTCCTGCCCTTGAACGACTCGTTCATTCAAATGATGAAGAAGTGTTGACAGATGCATGCTGGGCACTTTCTTACCTATCCGATGGACCAAATGAGAAGATTCAAGCTGTGATTGAGGCAGGTGTATGCTCACGATTGGTTGAGCTCCTCACGTATGTACCCTCGTTCTGTTATCTGTACAGGGGTTCTTTTCTTTTCTTGTTTGTGCTTTTAGTTACAAGTTTTGGGTCTGTGTCCAGGCACCCATCTCCTTCGGTGCTGATTCCCGCCCTCCGCACAGTTGGTAATATAGTCACTGGAGATGATTCGCAAACACAGGTTAGATTTTGTTAAGTCCGCTTACCTTTTTTGCATGAGTGATGCATAGATGGACCGTTTATAGTAGTAGCTTTAATGCTGATGGACAGCTCACATTTATTTATCTGTCCTGTTTCTGTTTTGTTTTCGTTTGATGTTAATGACATTAAAGACTTCTGCTATGATGACTGACTGGTTACAACAGCTAAATGACTTCAGTTTTTTCAATACACAGTTTTTGAAAGAATACAGAGTTGTCTGCTTTCTTTTCCTTAATATTTTCCTTGCTGGTCGTGTTTGAATTAGTTTTGGGGTCTCTTTGTAAAATTATGTTGTATTCTTAATCTTTGCTCTATAGGACAGATGTGTCTAGTTCTTTCTAGATGTGAGGAAGCATCCTTCTTCAGTTCTTGTGTTTTATTTTATAATATAATGAAGTGATGTCATTATACTGTATGCTTATTCTGTTTTTTGTTTTTTTCTTATTTGATGATGTGTGCTGGATAACTTCCATTATATAGTTGTATCTAAAAGTGACACTATTTTGATTAGTCAAAAAGGAACTTCATTGATTAGAATTAATGTGGGTTTTTTTATAAATGAAGCGCTTTCCTGCTTCATGGCTGGAATATTTGGAATTGTATATGATTTGCTGATCAGTAGTGAAAGTGTGGAACTAATGTTGTTATTACCTAGATGATCTATGAAATACCTGTGTTGCTCTAATCTGGAAGTTCCACTTGTTGAATACTGAACATAAAAATGATTGTTGCGGCCTCACACGGGTTGTTTATTTAGAGGATATTGGGGAAACCATATATTTATTGAATTTTTTATTATTTGAAAACTGAAATGCGTGTGAGAAAGTACGTTTGGTATGTTAGATCATTGGCTGGTATAGTGATTTTCAAAAGAATGAATGTACAATAAAGCGTCTCCCTGTGGGAGATTATGATATTAATGTTATTCATTTTAATTTAAGTTTGGTAATTGGGCATTAACTTTATTTGAATATCAGTACTCAGATTGAATTGGTACCCAGGGTGTAAACAATGATATAATCAAGCACTGCTCTATCTGTCATAACTTGACTGCAATATCTGTACATCTTATCTATGTGATGCACTGATTGCTGCCTTATGGATGATGCTAAAGACAAGTATGCTGAGATAGTAATAACACATTGTCATGTTATTCTAGGATGGAATCCTGGTGCGCATGTATAGTTGTTTACTTATATTTTGATGTTTTCTTGCTTAGTCAAGAAGGGCCTCGTGCCTCATAAATCAGAGTAGGAAAGGCCATGATTCTCGGTTTCTTCAAATACGATTCATGAGACCATTAGATGTTTATGGCCCACCATGCCGTTTCTATTGTTTTAGATGTTTGAAGCCTGGCTATACTCGAGTGAATTTATCCCAAAAAGGGAATAAATTTTGAGTGAATTTACATCTACACTCATCTGCTTCCTTGATCTGGGAGGTCTTTTTTTTTTTTTTAAAGATGAATGAACAAGAAACGTAATTCTTTGCTTTCTATTGCTCCCTGTTTTGCTCTAATTTGTAGTGAGCTTGTGTTATTTGGAATGTGCATTGTGGGATATTTTGTTGTATCTATATATTTTACATTACATTGAAATTACCTTGGCTTATCATTGCAATATAACATCCTTGCAGTTTATCATCGACAGTGGTGCATTGCCATGTCTTTTGAACCTGTTGACTAATAATCACAAAAAGAGCATTAAAAAGGAAGCTTGTTGGACCATATCAAACATTACAGCTGGAAATAAAGCACAGATTCAGGTATTGCAACCAGTCCTATCCTACAAAACTTTTCTTGGAGGGATTGTTTTGTCCCTGTAACATATGAGTATATTTTCTACATAGTGTAGCCTCTCTACTTTTTTTCTTTTTTGTGCATTTCAATGATATTAAGTACTCAGTAGGAATCTGTGCTTACTGCTATTACCGAATGATCTAGGCTGTCATTGAAGCTGGTTTGGTTGGCCCTCTAGTCAACTTGCTTCAAACTGCGGAATTCGATATTAAGAAAGAAGCTGCTTGGGCGATATCTAATGCTACATCCGGTGGAGCTCCAGAGCAAATAAAGTATGTTTTTATTGTCTTGGAGCATTATGTTCTCATCTATGCTGTGCACAAGATGGTAACCTTAAGCTGGCTATTTTTATTCTAGGTTTCTTGTAAATCAGGGATGCATAAAGCCATTATGTGATCTGCTTGTGTGCCCTGATCCAAGGATCATCACTGTCTGTCTGGAAGGGTTGGAGAACATTCTGAAGGTAGGTGAAGCAGAAAAGAATTCGGGCACCACTGGAGATGTTAATTTCTATGCGCAGATGATAGATGAAGCTGAGGGATTGGAAAAGATTGAAAATCTTCAAAGTCATGATAACAATGAGATTTATGAGAAAGCAGTGAAAATTCTCGAGACATATTGGTTGGAGGAAGAGGAAGAGGCTGCTGCTGTACCATCTGGTGATAATACCCAAGCTGGGTTCCAGATGTGGAGCAATGAAGGCCCCTCTGGTGGATTTAAGTTTGGCTGAAGGTAGCTTAACTCTATCTGATTGATTCCCTGTTGACTGGATTTTTGCAACCCCTAAATCTGTTATTTTAGCACATCCCAACCCCTCTCCCCCCCCCCCCCCCCCCCCCCCCCCCCCCCCCCCCCCCCCCCCCCCCCACACACACACACAAAAAAGAAAAAAGGTACCATTGGAGTCCTTTGATTGGACATGGGGAAAGTAGAAAACTTAAGTAATGTGTATATCTAGTTTGCATGAAAAACTTGCTTGAGGACTTCACTGAGTTTTTGACATGGGTACTTGAGATGAAGTGAACGGCCCCAGTATATATGCAGGTGTTTAGATCCCTTGAAACCTTTTACGACGACCTTTCAAGTCGTTTCTAACAATCTTGTCAATAGAAACTAGCCTTTCAAGTTCCTGTTTCCAATTTTCTATAGAAATTAAGAAATCCTCTTTTGTAAGAATTAAAACATTATCCCTCTCCTAGCTCAAAAAAAAAAACGCTGAATATACGTTTCCGTTGCAAAACAATTATCACGAGATTATTAGTTTCCACTGCAAAGAGATAATCACTAGACTTGGATCATAAAACAAGTTTGGAAGTCTCGCTCGCTTCAGCATGTTGCTTGTTTTATACCTTGAGGCTAATTATTATTCAATCAAACACAGGATTGGGATGGATGCATTAGTAGCAGTATGTTGAAGTTAACGAGATGGATCTTGGACTCTAGCTTGACATCAGGTGGACTTCGAGGTCCAGCTCTGCTCGAGCTGGGTTTGGTTATGTCATATTGCATGTGTCAAGTCTGTGGTCAAGGAGGAGCGGCCAATGGGGGTCTGTCAAGGGCCAGATGTTAAACTAATGGTGATAGTGCTCTGGTATGGTGTTCCTCCGCGTATTGTTACCCTTTGTTGGGGTTTATATGTCAAATAGTGGTTTTTTTAGTGTTTTTTTTTTATTTTTTTTTTTATTATTTTTTTGTATTTGGGGGAGTTGGGAAGGGTATTTTGGTTTGAAAAAGAAGGGTTTTGTAGCTGCCATTATTGTGTTCAATACAAGTAGTATTAGTTATTTGTCCTATAGAGTCTCACAGGATATTTGTTTTCGATTGGCACTTGCCAGTTTATCCTTCTCAGGTAACCCTAGTTTTTGTTTTCTGTAACACATTTCTTAACCTCAAGGATATATGTTAAATGATCATAGAAAAATATTAGATATTTGTGTTATACACATTTATGAAATATCGAAATGTGTTACGATGCTTGATATCTCTTAAGTTTTGATGTCTGAGGCCTGAAGATGATGTTAGGTATGATAATTCTGGCATTCATCAATGGTTACTAGCAGATACTAACATTTTCAATTGCTGCTCAAGCGAAAGTTTGAGAAGGTGCTTACAAAGTTAAAGATAATTTTTCAACTGACTTAGTTACCGCTCTATATGCTACAGACCCAAAATACCGCCATAAATCTAGAACTCATTGATAGGTAGATTCATGCTACATTGTCTATGCAGTAATTATATAAGCTTGAGTTAAGATTTTAATTCTTCGCATTCAAAGTTCCGTTCAGTAACCTCATCGGAGAACATGTATATCAAAGGATTTCCTGCGATGAAGCAGTTCTTCCATGGTGACGTTGCTGTTGGGTGCTACTGTTGAATTACCGTTGCTGCTGTCCACATGATAACCTTTAAGCAGCATATGTAACTGTAGGAAGCGCACCAAAAACAAATTATATAGTTGCCCTGCTGGTCATGTCACTTGGCTGTATAGATGCAACATCACATATGCACAAGGGCCCATTCCCAAAGAGCTTCAGAAAAAGTGTATGAATTCGCAGTCGATGGTAGCCCATTTACATCAGATTAAAGCTGTAAGATTTACTCCTATGGAGCAAATCACACCAAAGTTTATCCCATCAATTTATTCTAACTTTTTTTTTGGAAGAGATTGGGAACATATATGGGACATATATATCAAAGTCAAAATTCATACTTGTAAAACTTGAGTGAGATGTTTGTGTACTGATGAAAAGGAATTAGTCGCGTCGGTTTCAAGCGTATAATTGTAGGATTTAAAATGTATGTACGTTTTCGTAATCTCTCTTTTACCGTATATACTTCGTATTAATGTCATAAGGGATGTAACAAAGATGAGTAATTTAATACTCCTGTTTTTGAATAAGTGTGTCAATCTAATTATGTGAGCAATACTGAGTTACTTGATATTTTCCTCTGTTTCTGAATAAATGCATCAATCTGATTGTGTACGTTTGCCAGCACATAATTTCAATCATTAATGTATTTTATTGTACATTATTCAAAATGACTTCGTGATCTAAAATATATTTGTGATCAATGCAACAACATTTTAATCATAATAAAATTACTATAAAAAAAAAATTAAATAAAAAAAAATCACATGATAATATTTATTTTTATAAATTAGTAAAAGAAGAATTAATAAGTTAGCTTATGAATAGTGCACTATGTTGATGTGATGCATTTATTTATAGGCGGTAAGAGTATAAAAAATTGTATATCAAGTATTTTCAAAAATGGTCCAACTTTTGAAAAGTACAGTTTGCTCGAGTCAATTATACCATGACATGGACTTTGAACAAACCATTAAATAAAGCTATATATAAGTATTAATGGCATGATTTCATGCAATCGAGGAAGAGTACAGCTTTCTTTGTCTCTGTCTCCACCATTAACCCTTTACCATTCTTATGCCTGGTTTGATTGTGCCCTTCAGATATTTTTTTATCCTTCATTTTTGTTGTAGAAACCAGTTTTAGTTAATTATTTTTTAATGAAGTCGTACTACTTTGCAAGATAAAAATGATAATCAAATGATTACCCAAATAAAAGAGATCAGTACATGAACTGCCCTTATAATAATAATAAATTAACATATTAAAAAAAAAAAATTATGGATTTGTCACACTTCTAGCATATATTAGATTCTTTTTTACCGAAAAAACAGTACGAGTACAATAATAATGACACTTCCAATGCAATTAGATTAAACTATTAAAGTGCGTGTATTAATAAACATTGGGTATAGGATGATAATAAAATGTAGGGACAAATTGAGGACTGAGGTCCTGTTTTGTTTTGTTTTTTGTTTTTTATTTTTTGTTTTTTGTTTTTTGTTTTTTTTTTTTTTGTGACAACCCTTTGGTTTTGAGGGCAAAAAAAGTGGTCTTGTGAGCTTTCATTATCATCATTATATGTAAACATCCTTCTTTTAATACCTTTGTCATTGCAATAGTTATTTGTAGCCCTCTTGCATTCTATCTCAATACGAATTCCTCCATTCTCATTTCCTAATATAAATGAGATTCATAGGGGATGAGTTGGATCCTATGATCGTCTTTGTGACCCTTGTTCGAATCTCACCATATTCACCAAAAGATTACAAAGAATAGATCAAACCTAACTCATGTCGATATTTAATCACAAAAAAAAAAAATAATAATAATTACTTGTATTTTTTATTTTGATTAGAAATAATGTTCAAGCCAACTTCTATCTAATGCATTTTTCCTTATCCAAAGTGATTTTTTTTTTTTTAAGATTATATCCAAAGTGAAGTTAGAAGATGTACATTATTATTTCCAAAAGCCAACAAATGTAAGATTTCCCTCTAAAAAATTACTTCACAACAGTATAACAACTTTTGTTCTTTATATTAATAATCATGATGTTTGATTTGAAAATAAAAAATTTAAAAAAATAAAAAAAAAAATAAAAAAAAAGCAAGCTTGCAAAGGCTATTGTTATCACTAGAAAATATATAAGAAGTAAGTCATATAATGATATTACTACTAAAGCACTCCATGCTAAACATGTTTATTTTGAAAACTACCAGCGAAACAAGTTTTCTCAAAATTTTATTCTTATTATAAGAAAACTAATTACAATGAAAGTTTATAAATATGATTACAAACGGGCCCAATCCAAAAATACAACCATGATATTTCTCCTTAAATATAGGTATTATTTGAGGGAGGCCAATTACATTTGTATGTATTAGGAAAAATGAACAAAAAGTTAATTGTTATATTGTCTTGATTTATGATAATTACTCGAGTCTCAACCATTCTATGATCTAATCTACGTGATTGTTTGTTATAGATTAAAAGGTAATCAAGGGATAGGGCTCGATCTCATACACCTCATCTTCTAGGAGTGGTTTAGAGTTGAGCTACTTGTTTTTGTTTATTGCCACCCGATCTATTATCCTTGTTATTAATTGATCCATGACAAAATATTTATTTGTTAGATATTCATTAGACAAGAATTATTTTTGTTTTCTATGTATTTACACTATTATCTTGACCTAGATCATTTACATTTGTCTTTTATTAGCCTTTAAAACATTAAATTTATTGTTGTCTTTGACAATAAACTTATCATGCGCTTTATATATTTGGTTCTTATATGCACTATTCAAGAATTAATAAATTTTGATGTGTAATTCTAATTATAGATCAAATTCACTATATATCAATTAAAAAGACATCAATGTATTCTAAAATAATTTTTAAAATAAAACAATTCAATTAACTACACATCAATTATTCTATAAGTGTACGTAGTAATTAACTACTACGTATAAAATTCAAAATATTGACTAAGGGAGTCAACTAGACCACACCAAACCACATGAATTGTATTTCGACTCAAGCTAGGGCTTCAGAGTGATTCATTGATCAATAAAAAGCATAACCAGTGATGTAACAAGCAATCTACAACCTAATTTAGTATTAAAAATGACAAGTAATCATGTGATAACTAGGGATATCCACTTGACACCCAAATTTTAAATGGGTGTACTAAGATTAATTAATTAAATCTCAAATAAAATTTACTTTCCTTTAGACCCTAAACTATAATTTAGGTTTTTTAAAAAATTCAAGCTCGATCACATTTGTGAGTTTTAGAATGTAACACGACCTTTTCAAACAAAATGTGAAAGCACGTCGTATTTAATCAATCTCAGGACAAACCAAGTACACCTAGATCACCTACGTCACCTACGTACATCTCACTGACACCTTAATTACTATAACTAGGGTTGTACACAGTCCAAAATCGACTCGGACCGGAGCGGGACTGGTTAGGAACGGAACTGAATCCCTAAATTTCGAGGACCGGAGACCGGACCTGAATCAACCAATCCGGTCCGATTTTAGCCCGGTTAGACCTGAATTGAGTTTTTTTTATTAAAAAAAATATATTATTAATTGCTAGTAAACAATTTGAACAGGAGTATGCTAATCTACAAAATATTTGATCTTGTCACGTGGCACAGTTAACCTTAATGACTAACGGAGTTAACGACATTAGTCATTATGGGCATGTTGTGACATTTTGATAAAACTGAATGGTATTTGATGAATTAATTAAGCTGAAACTCAGTGGTATTTGGTGAAAAAACCGTATAAAAACTATTCTTAATATTTGAAAACCATCGACTATGCACACGGTGGTGCGGAAGCAGAGGGAAGAAGAAGCTAAGATGAAAAAGAACGAAAGTGAGAGAAGGCGAGGGTGAGGGTTGTGCATCTGGGGCGGCGGTTTGCTGGAGTCGTGAAGGTCGCTTGTTGCGGTTCATTGCTTCATCGATCCCTTGGTGGTGGTGAGGAATTGAGGGGGAGTGAGAATGAGGAAGGGAGACCATGAGAAAGAGATTGGTGTGAGATGCGGCTAGCAAGAATTAGGGCTGAAACTTGAAATTGAGGCTGACATTTATATGTTGGGAAAAAAAAAGGTATTATCGGTTTTCAGGTCCGGACCTGAATATTCCGGGTTTAACCTGGACCGGACCTGAAAACCGGAATCCCCTATTTCTAAGGACCGGGACCGGACCTAGATCCACCGGTGCGGTCCGGGTCCGATCCTAACATGTCCAGTTTCAATCTGAATTCAGGTCCGATCTATTTTTTGTACACCCCTAACTATAACTACTATTTACATACCTTTGTTCATAATAGCTAGCTATATCATGTTGAATTTTATCCTATTTATTTACATAATTTTACCTCTGAGTATATTTTTCAACTCGTGCGCTAAAAATTATTATCTATATGTAAAAAGTCATTGAATTAGTATCTGTGTAGAGTTTCAAATTTAATTTGTAAAATAAAGGTAGCAATATGTCCCATTTTTGTAAAAGGAATGTAATTTGGAAATTTTCGATGCTGAATTAAAACGACTATCCTTATCAAAATATAACAAATTGGATTGATATTTC